GTCATATCGTGAGTGTTCGCACATAGTGCGGTGCTTGTGTTGAGCATGTTCTCCGCTCAAAGCATAACTTGATGAGGAAGCTAACTGCAAGATAAGTATCCTCTCACGTACCTGCCGCCTGAGTCGCGTCTTCGAGCCTCGTGGCACTGTTTGATCTGACTGAGAGGGGGTGCACGTGAGAAGGGCGACTCCCTAGCTTCGGTCGTCACACGAAGCGAGGCCTATGGTATCTACTGACATATCCGGGTCGAGGTTGCCCACATGTGTGCTCCATGAGTATATAAGCTCATCGTCATGAACATCTACTTCTCTGACCCATTTCTCATTCACGAAATGACACCCAGCGTCCTCGTTCCGGCAATCGTAACGCCTGATGTGCGGTATCTCAAGTCCGCAGATGGTACGGTCGTCTATGCGGAGGCCGTAGGCGACCCCTCCGACCCGCAGATCATCTTCTTGCACGGCTTCTCCCTCTCCACCATAGTCTTCGACAGCATCTTCTACGATCCTCGTTACGCCAAACAGTTTTACCTCGTGCGGTACGATATGCGCGGGCATGGAAGATCGGGGAAGCCGCAAGCTTCAGGGGCGTATGCATCAGAAAAGTTCGCACAGGACTTCTCTGCTGTAGCACAGGCGTATGGACTGCGTCGGCCCGTCTTCGTGGGATGGAGCCTGGGAGGTAAGCTCTGAAACCAGCGTCTTCATTTCGTTCTGCAAGCTGAACGATCGAGATAGCCACGGTAATAGCTGACATCGCCGCATATCTTCCTCCACAGTCGATCTCTGGCGCCGTCTATCTCAGCGCTCTACCCTACACCAGTATGGTTACTCGCGTCGTGCCCAAACCTGTCCTTGAGACAATCAGAAGATTCCATCGCAAAGACGACGCTGCGAGTTTCGTCTCGGCGAAAATGCCTTTCATCAACGGCTGTTTCGCTCAAGCAGATCAAGTGCCTGCCGAGCTGAGATGCCTATGGGCGGGCGGAACACTGGCCTCTACACCCCATGATCTTGAAAGCGCCTTCAACCGGCCACAGGATCCCACAGCTCTGTTGGAGATTGCGCAGAAGGGCCTACTGCCTTTGTTGGTGCTGCACGGCGATTCCGATGCTATCATCGAAGCGAAGAGTCTTGTGCGGGAGGTTGAGGCGATGGCGTGGAAGGGGGCTAGCATCGTGCTCCTTGAGGGCGTGGGGCATGCACCGTTCTATGAGAGCACGGAGAGCGTCATGACGCACATAGGGGAGCTCGCGAAGCGAGTGCAGGCCGGAAGGCATGCAGCGAAGTTATGAACGAGGTAATTGAGGAAATGGAACTGTCTTGTACAACAATGCCGTCCGCGTGTATATTATGCCAGACATGCCTGACAGAGTCCAGTCTATCGTAAGGTATCCGGTGGTACATTTGAGTCTTCTTCTGCGCCAATTAAACGTGGGGAGCTTGCACAACCTCGCGGTGGACTTGATCCACAGGCGTGACGCGTTGTCGACGTCTCCACCAAGTCAAGTCGAGTATGAGTGGATACCCGTATGGTCTCATGTCCAGCTCCCAAGGATGCGGCTCCACACTGTACCTCCGCGAGTCCAGGGTACCCGCTGCTTCAGCCTGTTGGACATCACTCTGCTCCGGGTGCTGGGGAACGTCGGCTCGTCGGCGCCGATGGGTGAACGGAGCGAAGAGGGACAGAAATCCGCGCTTGCGGTTGAGACCAGACTCGTGCGTCCGTGCGACCTCCGAGGCGTTGGCGGCGGCTGCCGGGTTCTCGTGCGACTCGAGGTGCTTGCGAACGTCGAGGGCGGCGCGGGCGACGCTATATAGCTCCCAGCTGAGGATGTCGAATGGCTCGAAAAGCGTTGTGAGCGCAGGGTCGCACCAGCAGCGATCGTGGAGGCGGATGATGGCCGGCAGCTCCGTTTGGGGGACCGAGACGTGCATGGCGTCGAGACTGAGTGCGAGCGCGTCGCCGAACGTGCTCGCATTCGCGTTCTCGGCGATGAGCGTGCGTGAGAGCGGCTCATCGAGTGCGACGGGCGACCAGTGGCAGGACGAGACGAAGAGCGCGGAGAGCAGGAGGATGCAGTAGAAACTAGGCCCAGGATATATCAACTCGTGCTCTTTCGTGGATCAAGGCAGACGGACGGACCATGGTCGTGCGTGGACGACGAGAGAGGTGAGAAATACGAGGAGAAAATAAGGCGGTGCGGAGGGGAGGGGCAGCAGGAGCAGCGGCACGAACCAGCGGGTGCACCACATCTTTCTTTCTGGTTGTGGACAAGTCGTGGACCCGTGCGACGAGTCGAGAACCTTCTTGCGCGCGCCTCAATATTATTCTCTCCCAGCGACCACCACCATCTCGATCCCATCATCCACACAATGCCCACTCTTCATCCCGAGGTTCTCTGGGCACAGCGCAGCTCTGATTTCGAGGAGGACAAGGTGAGGGCGCGTTTGGTCGAAAAAGTCGACGCGTCGCGTCCTAGGGTCCGCCAAACACAATCATCTCACGTATCATTCCTCAGTGCTACGTGATCGTCACCGTAAACTTGCCAAACATTAAGCCAGACACGCTCAAGTACTCGCTCGAGTCTGAGAAACTCTCGTTTTCTGCGACCGCTGGCGAGTGCGTGCACCTCACATATGTCCCCTTGCGTCAGATCAGCTGATCCAGAGACATCCAGTGCGAGCAAAGGCATCGAGGAGAAGGAGTATGCCTTCGAGTTTGACCTCTTCAAGCCAGTTGATGTCGAGGTATGGCCCCGATATCGCGCGCCACACCTCAATCACTCAACTCTCCCCCTTTGTCTGCGCAGAAATCTACAAAGCTCTTGACGTCGCGTTCCCTCGTCCTCAAGCTCCGCAAAGTGGAGAAGGGCCTTGAATACTGGCCGCGCTTGAGCAAGGAGAAGATTAAGACTAACTGGCTCAAGACCGACTTCTCGAAATGGGTCGATGAGGATGAGCAAGATGGCGCCGCGGAAGAAGATGACCAGCCCGACCCGATGGAGGCGATGGGCATGGGAGGCGGAATGCCTGGTATACACTCTCTATGGCGATTGCATATAGCACTCGAACTGATACGATCTCAGGTATGCCCGGTATGGGTGGTATGCCCGGTATGCCCGGTATGGGTGGAATGCCTGGCATGGGGGACATGGAGTGCGTTGATTTCGTATTGCCTCACGATGCAGTGTTTTGATCATGTTCTGTCTAGCATTCAAAAAATGCTCGCCCAGATGGGTGGCGGAGCAGGCGGTCTCGGTGGTGGCGCAGGACCCTCGGGAGTATGTGTCCCCCGTCTCTTGCAGTCTGACTTGTGCTGACAAGCTGAATAGGCCGACGACGACGACGACGATGATGATGATGATGATGGCCCGCCGCCTCTTGAGGACGCCGCGCCAGCGAAGGCGTGAATTCAATGGACTCTTATCTGTACATGCGCATCTGGACTCGAGACAACAAAGATTTTTGTACAACGTTCGTGTCAATATTTTTTCCTGTATAAGAGCGCAGGCTGTCACATGCGTTGATCGATGCCTCGGATGACGATCGCAAGACAGTGAAGATGCCCGACCTGCTATCTGACGTTCTCACTGGTGGCGCCGTCCCGTCAGGTGATGTCGGCGTTCAGGGCCACCACCTCGTGCGAGCTCTTGTTAATCGTTCTTGTGACATGTGGACGGTTAGACAACGGGGCGCTCGCTTGTCCAGTGAGAGCTATATATCTGGATCCTCTGGGAGCAAGTAAATTGTGTTCGGTACCCGTCAACCCATCTTCCGGTCATCATGCGCGCCGCCTTACTATACATCACTCTCGGTAGTACCCTTGCCTCCAGTACAACTCCGCAGAAGGAGAACAACGACGGGATACACCTCGCGATCTCTCCGCCCTGCGGGACGCTCAGCGAGAACGTGACAAACGTCAATGTCGGCATTGACTTGCGCGATATAGACACGATCGTCTCGTTTGGTGATTCTTATACAGACGGCGGCGCGCACGACGGGGTCCTCTGCCTCTGCCTGTTCTACCTTTCAACGGAAAACGGAACGCGAGCGGGTGGCAGGATTACCAACGGCTACGTTTGGATTGAGCACTTGGCGAACATGACGGGTCGTAGGGAGGCGCTGCTCATGGACTATGCGGTATGTCAAGTCTTATCAGAAAGCCTAGAATGTCAGTCACACCCAGCTTCCGAGCAGATCTCTGGGGCTGTCGTGAATGCTTCCTTGTGGCCTAACACCGCCGCGGCAACCGGGACGAGCGCCAGCTTTGTGAATGAGAGTAAGGACGCCGCCCTGCGCTACCACGCTTCCCGACTTACTAGGCCACACAGTGGCAACCTTCCAGAATCAGACACATGACAACCTTCACCCCGATACAACACTGTATTCAATTTTCTTCGGTATCAAGTGCGCCCATTTCCTACCCACGCGATGGCCGTCTCTGACCAGTGACCCGTTCGTTAGTGATTACTCTGTCTCTCTTAGTAAGTCCTGGCAGAAGCAGCCGCGTAAGCGAGTGGAATTAACCCGGTGATGGAGCCCAGGGAAATGAGCTGCCTGCAGCTGCGGAGGACCTACTCGGCCTGATCGATGTCTTGACTGCACCACCTTACAAGGCTCAACACGTATTGGGCCTCGACGATTATGGTCGGGGGAACCGCACCATGGAGGGTGAAGTGTACAAGAAGATCGTCTTCGATGGTATGGACACACGGCACAGGGCCGCACTGAAAGAGAACAAGATAATGAAAGTTGCTTATGTGGACTTCGCGCCGCTATGGGATGCTGTGTTTGGCGAGCCAGGGTATACTGCATTTGGGTACTCAAGCGACGGGTTTTGTTTCCCCTCGGCTGGTCAGTTGACAACTGTAGACGAAGAGTGTCTTGACCCGGATACGACATTTTACTGGCTACACGGGTGCGCATATTGACAGCTGCATTAAAGGAGCTACCGCACTGATGGATCATTACATCCGCCAGACATCCTTCCAAGCAGACGCACAAGATTATGGCGGACTACGTTTACCAGGTTTTGAGTAGGTGTCGACTGCAGTAAATGAGAAGCCATCGCTACTGTGCGATATGTTTATCGTAGCATCACCGTCTCGTTTAATGGCAGAACGACTACTGTCTTTTTTTCCGACCGTAAGTTCGTAACGCGTAACATCGCGCGCGGTACAAACCTCGGTAACGCGCGTCCGATGGCTGTTTGAACCTGCGAGAGTTATCAGTGGATCGGCCCGACGCTGCCGGAAGCCCCTTATAGACCGCGGAGAGCTTTTTGCGAGGTCGGCCAAGTTCGATGTACGGGGTTCAACGAGCCTATTTTCAGCGAACTATACGAGGGGCAACGCGTGACGCGCTAAAGCGCCGGACTTCGGGTCGAAAAAGACAGTACGAACCGTTGGTGAGAGTGAGAGGACCGTCTGACAATTATTGACGCGTCCCGATTATGTACTCGAGTATTCCCGCGTCCCGCGGGGCCAACCTTGCTCAGAAAACAGGATACCCATGCATGTCTTGGGCGCGGTGTGCATAAGAACCTGTGCACAGTGTCTCAACATAGCCCGTCCCGGGCGGCAACCAGATGGCGAGAGCACTTCATCTTACAGCGGTTTGCGAAAACCTTGCGAAAGTCGCGTCGAGAGCGAACGCGCGACTTCAATCCTAAAAAGGCGATTCTTCCTGTTTGGGCAATTGCCACGCCCGACTACAAACCGGCGTCTTGTGCTTTCCTGCCCAGTAAAGCATCGGAAGTTGACTGGCTGGATGATAGGCTATACGGGTGCTGGACGAATGCTCCTGTGGTCGAAAGTCTGACAATTATTGACGCGTCCCGATTATGTACTGTGACCTCTGACAGTCTGTCACAATTTCACGGATATCCATGGCAGAGCCTATCACTATTGAGGATGGCCGACTATGATGCTCTTGTCCTCCTTCATAATACGCGGCTAGATACCGAGGTCTCATCTTCTCCGTTTGGGATCACTCGCAGGAGCAGCTTACTCCAATCAACGGGAGTCAGCGCCATCAGTCACACATGTGACATAGTAAGTCCGTCTCGCCAAACGACAGTCTTGACCTGTCTTCCTTCGCCCGTCCCATCTTCTATCAGCAAATTCTGCCTTTTCCGTAAAGCTTTCCGGACACCGCGTCCCCAAGACGCTACTCATAGGTACTTGAACGCGCCTGGTCGATTATGGAAAAGGCCTACGCGATTTTGAAGGAGACCTTCGGCTTCGACTCGTTCCGTCTCTCGCAAGAACAGGTGCGTTTCTGACGCGACTTGGACGCGCCTAGCTGATACATACCGTCTCAAAGGTTATCAAGCGTCTAGTAGAGGAGAATGAGAACGCATTGGTGCTTTACCCAACTGGAGGTGCGTGCTCCGGATTCATTGTGCCATACTGTTCTGACACTGTCCACGGCCAGGTGGCAAGAGTCTCACGTTCCAGATACCAGCCCTCTGCTTTGAGGCATGTCACTCCGAGGCATGGCTTGATGCTCGCTAATGTGATTACACAGGGCATCACCTTGGTCATCTCGCCCCTCATCGCGCTTATGCGCGACCAAGTCGACGCGCTCGTGCGGCGCAACGTCAAGGCAGCTAGCCTTGACAGCACTCTCACCGCTGACAAGTCTGCGTGGGTTAAGCAAGAGGTCATCGATGGGCACATGAAGATGCTATACGTTGCGCCGGAGAGGTCGGTCCCACTCCCGCCTTGAACGCGGCGTGTATGTTGATCTTTCCGCAGGTTGAACAACGAGTCATTCATTCAGATGTGGGTACTTGCGTCGTATCGTAGAGCTGACTCTGACGCGCATCCAGGATGTCCGGTGTCAGGATATCCCTGCTAGCTATCGACGAGTCGCATTGCATCTCGCAGGTGAGCATCATAGGAATGATATCAGGTGTTGTCACAAACTGACACTTCTTTAGTGGGGCGCATCTTTCAGGCCCGAGTACCTCAAAGTAGATAATGAGATCCTCTTCGCAAATCTTGGCTTATTGTTCGTACGGTGCAGATTGCGCGGTTTGCCGAGGAGATGGATGTCGAGCGCGTGCTCTGCTTGACGGCTACCGCAACTAAAGAAGTTGCGGACGATATTTGCAAGCAGTTCCTCATCGACCCCCAAAACGGGGTGTTCCGGACCCCAGTGTACCGCCCCAAGTGAGTCAATCGTCCGAAGTCGCGCACTCGGCATATTGACACGTCTGCGTAGCTTGGCGTTTGAGGTTGAGGTCGCGAGAAACATAGACGAGAAGCTTGCCCGTCTGATACCGTTTTTGGAAAGCCGCACTGGGCCGGCCATCGTTTACGTGACCTTGCAGTCGCACGCTCAAGATGTCGCGGACGCTCTCAATAAAACCGGCATGGGTGCAATGGTGTATCACGCTGGTCTCCCAGCCGAGAAGCGCGAGGAAATACAGAACACCTTTATGGAGTCTGAACGTGGCATCGTATGTGCCACCATCGCTTTCGGCATGGGTATAGACAAGGGTGCGTACCCGGTTCCAGCCACGCACAGCATGCTTAAACATCCTTGCAGCGGACATTCGCCAGGTTGTGCACCTGTTCATGCCGAAAACTATCGAAGGTTACTCACAAGAGGTTGGCCGCGCTGGTCGCGACGGCTTACTGTCGACATGTCTTCTCTTCCTCTCGGCTGCGGATATTCCCATACTTGAAGGCTTCTGTCGTGGCGATACCTGCCACAAGGAGTCGCTTCTACTCTGGCTCCAGGAAGTCGCTATGAAGAAGCCGGCCAGGGATGGAACACTCGATTTCAATCTGTATGAGCAGTCAAAGGTCTATGATATACGTGTCAGTCCAGAAAGAACTCTGATGTCCCCAGTGATCTGACGTCCATGGTAGCCGAACGTTCTAAACTTATGTTACGCCCAACTCGAGCTAGACTTCGGTTACATCCGCGCGACGACGCCTTATTACTCCATCTATGAGATCTATGACTCGAGCGGATCTGGTGCTGCCTACATCAACAGGGCGTCCTCGGCGGCTGCGAGGGCAATTCGCGCACACTGGCGGCCTACGAGTAAAGGTTACACGGTGTGTGCTTCAGTGTCGTACGAGACTTGTTACTCAAGGGACCTTTTAAGATCGACGTAGTGGCTGCGGCGAAAGCGGCTAATCTGGACCGCTCCGACCTTGCCAAGCAGATTGGGACTTGGGAGTTGGAGGGTAGGTTGGTATTGTGATGATCGTCACTGCAATTGACTCACCCGAGTTAAATGTCGTCAGGGCGCATCCGGACCAAAGCTTCTCAAGTCCGCGCAGTATGTTTTCTTGAGCTTATCGCACTACGCCTATGCCTAATTTCTGTGTAGCGCTACCATATCCTCGGTGAACTACCAAAAACGCCAGATGATATACAAACCGTTGTCGACCTGCTCTACGAGGGGATGGTCAAGAGGGAGAATGAGGCCGTGGCTAAGCTGCGCGGCGTCACCAAGTTCGCCACCACCGATGATTGTGAGCAGTCTCCCCCCAGATGTGGATACATGAGGACCCACCCCGGAACGTATAGGCCTCGCACAATCCTTGGCATCCTACTTTGGTGATGAGGATGCCGTTCCCGACGGTATGTGCGGCCGCTGCACCTTTTGCAAAACAGGCCAAGGCGTCGATTTCGACCCAACAGCGGATGCGAAACCCGATTCTGTCAAGCTACAGGCCATTCTACGCACCATTCCCGATCGAGACGACCCGCGCCTGCTAGCTCGTATGGCGTTTGGCATCACATCACCACGCCTGACTGCAAATAAGTGGTCTACCTCCCACGAGCTCTTCGGGAGTATGGTTGACGCCGACTTTGGAGCGCTCGTCGAGGCGTTCGACGCTGAATGCAAGAAGTCTGGGTACAAAAAGAGTGACGCGCCTCCACCGTCGACGACTGCGAAAAAGCGCACGTACTCACAAGCGGGGTACGAGACGACTAAATCAGTCAAGAGAAGTTACAGCGGTGGAGGTTATGGCAGTGGCACGCGTGGCGGGAGCTATGGGGGCGGCCGCGGCGGGCGAGGAGGCAACAAGAGGGGGAAGTGGTAGACAATGCCTGTCTTGATCGCGGCAGAGATAGACAGCGGGGCACTTGCCCCGACAGATATCATGTGTTCTGTACACTGTCTTGCATGTACCCCTTATTGCTGTCTCGTCATACTTTTCCAATATATCATATGTTGTCACTATCACTGCACGCTTGACACTGCAGGCAGATAGCTGAGCGTCATAAAGCAGGGGGGTTCGGTCCAAGGAGAGGTGACAATAGAACAACCAGGTTCATTTTAGCATTTGGCATACAGCAATGTACAACAAGGTGTAAGCTACAAATAGGGGCTTCGCATCCGCAAAACCCGAATCCGTCCGACCTCAGACGGTGCGACGACGACCAAGCGCCGCCTTCTATCTATACTGACCAATTATACATGAGAGCACCAGAGACAACCAAATGGACGAGCAGGCGAAAATCCACGATAGGGAACCATGGGGGCGCGCGAGTCGCTTAAGCCCAGGCCCACTTAACGTTGTGGATACGACCGACAGACTCGTCTGCGAGCTTGTCGAAGGCGGAGGGCGAGACTAGAAGTTCTCAGTCAGCGAAAACGTAAAGTGACAGTGCGGTGCAGGTACATACAATCAAGGGAGGTCAGGCTGCAGCCCGTGCAGCGGTCAGTAACCGTGACAGTAACACTCTTGCCGCCGTCTAAGGAAGACGTGTGTCAGAATTCACAGAGAGAAGGACGGGGAGAGGGGCACGTACAAGTCGCCTTAATCTTCTTATTGCAGACAGGGTTGTTGTTGGGATTCGCGCCTGCTCCGGGGTAAGAGTCGAATAACTCCTGTGAGACAGCGACGATATAGTCGGTGTCGGTGTTGGTGATACCGCAAGCACCGAGGCCTATTCATGATGTAAGTATGGCAGAAAGACGCGTGCAAAGGAGAGAGGGGCTTACCAGTCGCATAGAAAGTGCCGTCACCGGAGTTGGCGCCGCTGAGGTACGAGGTGCTGCGAGCCTCCTGAGCGGAGGGCGCAGCGACGGCGGCGGAAGCGGCGGCGGTGAGGGAAGCGACGAGTGTGATGAACTGCATGTTTGACAGCGAGATGAAGTTGGAGTAGTCTGGATAGAAAAGACTGGTGTTTGGCGCGTTGCCTTGTGTGTGGTAGATGGGTCGCGAAGGATGGGAGGGTGGGTAGAGACTGAGTGGTAGCTGAGGAGCTGAGGAGAATGAGACAGGCTCGCCAGGCGTACTTATACTGGGTTCACCTCCGAAGCTCGGGCCCTAGAGTACGTTGACGAGAGGCCTCCGGCGCTGCGAGATCTGTACAAATGAGGAAATAGTGAAAATCATCCAAGACAATGCGGATGCAAAGAGTTCTGACCACATGCAAGGGTAGCGATCGAGCGGAAAGGGAGTATACGGCAAGAGATTCGAGAGCGTTCTTTACACGACCCGTTCTGAGAAGAAGGCAATGAGAAACATTGTTAAGCCTGACTGCGACGAGTAGGCGTACTCGATTATCGCTGCAAAGATAGGTATGCACCCGATGCGAGTTACACGTTACCTGTTCTCAGTCGGAAAGGCCGCTGTCGTTCCCGATGACACGGAAGTACATAGAGGGTCAGAACGGGGGAAAGTCTCGCACTACGGAAACACCTCTGTGCGTTGCTGCACAACGGTCAAGACAGCGCTTACTTCCTTGGGCGGGTCTCGACCGGCGATGTTGGGCGGACCGGTGAGCAAGTGTTTGTGCTGGTCGATATTTTTTGGGCCTCTGGGAATTCAGACTCGGATACATAATCATGGATTAGCTCCGGGTAGGTCCCGGGCGCCGGCGCCCTTTCGATCTCGAGATAGGACGGAGCAACTGAGCGTACGGTAGGGCGGCGAGTTACCGTCATTTGCGGTCCAGAACATTGTACTCGGCTCTTGCGTCTGGACCGAGCATGGCCTGCAGTGATTTCAGCTCGGGGAAAGAACGGCCCTCTTGCCGGAGGACTGGCGTACGAAAGGGACCAAGCCATCCTATTGATACACTCATCACAATAGCAATAGCTAGTCAATACATAGAATACACAGCAAAGTGCACACGGCTCAGACCTCTGCCACGCCAGCGCCGGCCTTGGCTCCGTACATTTTGATGAGACCGGCACCAGAGATACCCTCGAGCGTTTTGGAGTATGCGTCAACCTGGCCAAGAAGGAGCATGCTCTCCAGACGCGAAGGTTCGGGTGGGATCTTAAACAACCGGCGAACGTCCTCGTCAGGCAAAGGCGGGAGACCTTGTGCGGTGCGCGCGGCGTTCTCATCCTTGCGTTTGGTTATGTATGCCTCCGCCTTGGCTTTCTCACGGGCGATCTGGCGAGAGTGGTAGGCGAGATTGCTCTCCTCCGTCTTGTACGCGTCGAGAGCCTCGACGAGTCTCTCGAGGTTCTTAGAGACTTTGGCGCTGCCGACGTCGAGGTTCGAGAAGTTAAGGGGAAGGGAGTTGGAGAAAGCCTTTTCTGGTGTCGCGTCGTGGATTGGCGAGGGTTCAGGTCGCGCGAGCACGTCCATGAAGGCACCAACGAGCGCATTCGCACGTGTCGATACCGGGATCTCCTCCAAGATGGTCGAGAAAGTCAGCCTGTTGTGAATGAGGCTTTGAGTGCCGAAACCAGTGCGCTTGCGAGCGTTCAAGAACTCCTTGGACAGGCGGAAGGCGCGGAACGAAGCGCTACCGCGACGCGTTTGGGCTATGTCTTGACGTCCACGGTCAGCGTGAGATGGGGCTGATGGGGAAAAATGAGATATACCGTGTACGAGAACGACACCGCCGTGCCTCAACTTGTCCTGATAATTCGACTGGATGTCAACAAGAGACTGGTTGTAGAACGCGCCCATGGATGTTGCCTGGTAGAAACCGACGATGCTGTCGTCTAACCGGACCTCCTTCAGGGAGCGAAGCATGGATGCCTGGTAGCGTGCTGGGTACGATCAATTGGATGGAACAGCATGTACCACGGGTTCTGAGTGCACCTGTGCTTTTTGTGGATTTATCGTCGTCATCGCCGGCATTATGGGGTAGAGGGAATGAGTTGGAGACCTCCAAGCTACCGTCCAGATCAAGACCGAGCAAGAGACCGTGGATGTTGGTGTGCTGAGAGGTGGAGGCGTGTTGGATTATCTTCGACACAACCTGAGACATTGATAAGCTCTCGGTACAGTGTATACGAATATGACGAATATACCAAAGCATCGAGCTGGATAATCTCCACGGGGATCGCCGCCTCAACATCGATGAGCGAAGTCATCGACGCCGGGATTTCCTCATATTGGGGCGCGACAGGAGCCGGCGCGGACTGAGTGACCGGGAGGGAGGCCGCGAGGGCCGCCGCCATAGATGTGCCCATTGTGGGTGGAATAAAGAAGATCGCGGTGGAGGTTGAAAGAGGACTTGTCGGAAAATTCTGTTGATCAAGCACCCGCGAGTTAGAGTTACTTGCCATCTAGCCGCGCGACGTCAGACTCGGCACTTGACGCAGACAGCCATGGCCCTCTCGCGTACCACTCGCATCTCCCTCCTGCTAGCCATCGATATTGTATTCTTTTTGATTGAGATTATCGTCGGTACGTCCTGTCTGCTATGGGCCACCGTGCTTGCTGAGCAGCGAATTTAGGTTATGCCGTCGGCTCTCTGGCTCTCGTCGCCGATAGCTTTCATATGCTCAAGTATGACCCCGCTACACTATACCGCGAGACCCGTCGCTCATCGTAACTCCAAAGTGATGTGGCGAGCTTAGTAATTGCTTTGTATGCAATCAAGGTGTGCGCGCCAGATACTTGACTGCTCTCTGACGACTGATTCCCGTCTCAGCTTACCGCCCAAACCCATACCGACACTCGGTACTCCTATGGTTGGCACAGAGCGGAGATTCTTGCCGCGCTTGTCAACGGCGTCTTTCTTCTGGCTCTCTGTTTCTCTATCTTTATGGAAGCCATCGAACGCTTCTTCAGTACTCCTGGTGTGTAGATCCATGTCCGCCGATCCTTATAGCGTCTCATATCCATACCAGAGGTTGGCAACCCGAAACTCGTCGTAATCGTTGGTTCCTTTGGTCTCGCTTCCAATATTCTCGGTCTCTTCCTGTTCCACGGTGCGTACCCACACCTCTATCCTCGAGTATCCTGTTTTCTTACCCGAATCCCCAGAGCACGGCCACTCTCATTCACACGCCCATGGCTCAAGGCCAAATAGCGCGTCGCCTTCAAAGGCAGCGAGCATTGCGTCGGATGAGGGCGCCACACTAGCACCGCATTCTGAACCTCCCCAGTATCGTGCTCAGTCACCCCCGGTGTTGCGCAAGACCCGTGAGCGCTCTGAGTCTTACTCTTCACTCTACGGCCATCCTGCCGCGACGCGTGCTTCGCTGGTACAAACTGCAGCCGACATGGCGCGAGAGCGCTCACCTCAACCTGTCGGACCTCGTCGGACGCGATCACACTCCCGGCCGCTTCCATCCGTCGAATCACAACGTTCCTTCGGCGCCGGATCTACTTCGCGATCCGCTCTTGACGCTGAAACTGAGGACGCCGGCGCTATGACACCTCCCGTAGCCGCCAATGAGCGTACCGCGTTGCTCACCGAGCGCCACGACGACGACCACGACGACGACCACGCCGAGAGCTCATCCGAACAAGGACACTCGCACGGTCATGACCACGCCCATGGCTCTATGAACATGCGCGGCATCCTTCTGCACGTACTGGGTGACGCCCTCGGCAATGTTGGCGTGATTGCGACCGGCTTGATCATCTGGCTTACCTCCTGGAGCTTCAAGTTCTACTTTGACCCGATCATCAGTTTGGTCATCACCGTCATTATCTTCCAATCGGCCTTGCCTCTCGGTGGGTATTGTCTCGTACGATCATCTAATCTGATACTAATTGCGCAACAGTCCGCAGCACATCTTTCATCTTGCTCCAGGGTGTTCCGTCCGAGATCTCGTTCGACCAAGTCCGCAACGATATTCTGGATGTACAGGGTGTACTGTCCGTGCACGAGCTGCACATCTGGCAGCTCTCGGAATCCAAGGTCATCGCGTCAGTTCACGTCACAGCGTCCCGCAAGATCGACTTCATGCCCGTCGCCTCGGACATCCGGAGTGTACTACACTCGCACGGCATTCACTCAAGCACGATTCAACCTGAATACCACCCCGCCGCCCATGCTGTCCCCGACGAGCACCTTAAGGTAATCCGAAGACACCCATCATTTTCCCAGTCCACTCACGAGCACCCAGACCACCGAGGACACGCGCTGCCTGGTCAACTGCCCGAATGACCACAGTTGCTCCGCCAACGAGGCATGTTGCCGTATGTACCAAACTGGTGCGGTCCTCTTATGGTACTGACCGTCTCCTTAGGGCCTTCACCTAATGCAGGGGAACCATGAGCATAGCTCCCTCGTATGCAGTAATCATTCTCGCACATGCACGTTCTCTCTGCGTCGGATGTTACAGTACGAATGGGTGTAGGTATAACGTTAACACAGCCTATCATATCTATATTTCGGTCTTGAACACGGGGAAACTGCCCACGAAGGTCGCACTGGATGCAAGCCGCTGCGCGACGGTCTTCGCGCTAGCGCTGGACTTGCGATGGCGTAGATCGTTTGCCAGTGCCCGCGCCATGGACGTACTCGGTTCGCCCAGTGGCGGCCGTTGATCTCCGCTGAGTGCCACAACCGCGCGCTCTAGCTGTAGGGCATGCATAATGCCCGTTGCCACGGCGCTCGCGAGCAGCTCTGGACTCACAGTACCAGGAGTCGTGTCGGCGGCATCGAGTAGCGCGGGAAACACTGCACGTAAAAAGACGGGGAGCAACGGCGGGCGAGCATGCGAAAGGACGTGCACCGCGAGCGCGCGGGCTCCGTCCATATCGACCGTCGTCTGCAATTGCGTCCAAAAGAGGTGCAGGAACTTGATCGGCGAGAGGAAGAGTAGGCAGCGTGACACATCCAGTGAAGGAGGCTTATTGGCGCCGAGCGCTCTCAGCGAGTCGTGGATCATATTAGGCGCCAGATCATTCCAGGTCGTTTCCACTCCAGTGGGTGGTAGACCGGCCCCTGTTTCTGTGTATACGATCACTGGATAAGTCGGCGGCATTTGGAAAATACAGGAAGCATCTACCATTGATGGGTACCCCCAGAGCAGCCATGGCCTTGTTCCGCATCGCCTGCCAGTCAAGCATTTTGGGCATGTGGCGTTTGATGTTCGGATCATTAATGACGCGTAGGATATCAGGCGCTGCTAGTGCCAGCAGAGGCCTGGGAAATGAGTCGGACATAACAAGTGTATGGAATGTGCGGACGTGCAAGCTGAACTGGAATCTGACGAAAGCTATCAGGGTCGACCGGCAGACGATCGTCAAGCGAGACGCACTTTGATATACGGAGATCGCGTAACAAATGCTGCACCGTCCCGAGAAGCGTCCAGTTGAGAAGTGGGTCTAGCATATACGCCAGCCCATTGTTCATCACCTCCTGCGAAATACCCTTCCGGATCGTGCCCTGTATGCCAATCATCACGAGGGTCGCGGCGAGCTCGAGGATGACGGCGGGGCGCGTTTGCCGCAGGATATCATCGTCGATCCCTTCGCTGCTTGCATTGAAAAGCGTGGCGTGCCAGCGTTGACACGCCTCTGTTCGTTCTGGGTATTGGGCGAGCGAGGCTGGAACGTGAACGATGAATGATTGTTGAAGAGGTTTGAAACTGAGCTTGCGCGTTCCGAGTGTGAAGGGATAATTATGCAACTTGATATCCCATTAGAAGGTCCATTGAGTTGTATTAAACGGGACTCTTACCCCATAGCGAGAGACGGCAACCTGAACGAATGTGACAACTTCGCCCAGCGAGCGAACAGCAGTCTGCGGATCTCCGACGGTCTCACAACTGTAATCTTCGAAGAGAGCAAGGCCACGAGCGAGCAGGTCAGGTATGGGAAGGTGAAGCCGGAAGATATCGAGTATTGTCACATCGGAGGTGAAAATTCGAGCGACTTGGCCAAGTGTCTCGACGTCTTGATTCATTGCAGAGCTCGCGAAGCGCTGTATCATGATAAGTATCCGTGCATTTAAAGCAGAAATGCTTCAGGCTCACGGCTTTGACCATCTCGGCGAACTCATGATGCACGCTATAGTCTGCCACGAGCTTTGTGACGAACGCAGCCACGTCCTCTTCAGAGTTTCCATCTTGAGATAACTTGTGTCCAATGTACGTCTTCGCAGGTCACGGTTCAGAAGACTTCTGAGAGTTAAATGTAGTACACCGCCTACCACTATATCAACATTGGCATCTCGAGCCTCCGTCGCAATTCGGGCCCATGCGGGAGTCGACTCCGACACCGCTAAACGCGACAAAAATGCATCGTCAACCAGATCGGACATCTGCAATGCATAAGTGAAGTCCAGCGTGAAGGACGAAGGCGGGCTGCATATCCTTTCAGCATCGATGCCCGGACTGAATATAGTCAAGCGTACGATGCCGTGGAATCCGGTGTGGTGTCCATCAGGGACATAGACACAACTTCATCCAGCTGCATGAGGTAACTATGTTGTGGGCTGAGACATATGCTGGCCCACGCATCACGGACAGCTGTGTTCTGAAGAGCGTGCGATTCAGTGAAGTGCCATACTCTCCTATTGTGTGAACACCCACAACAAGTTCCGGGCCCATGCCCTCCTGTTCCATGACCTTGTTATGCAGCACCAGGAGTCGGGGAAGACGCCCAAGCACAAATGATTTCCAAAGTCTAGACTCCGGGTAGGTGACGAGCCAAGAGAGCGCCGCGATAAAGAGTTGAGCGTAGAACTTATTCAGTAGCCAACCCGTGATGCCGTGAGCACTCATAATCATTGCTAAAGCGCGATTATCGTCTCCTGCCGCCCAGTCCTTGCTTGCGCCTTGAACCTGAGCATGTCAGCGCACAGAAAAAGATTTGTCGCAACGCACACATACAAGCCGATGGAGGAGAAGTTGACACGCCACGATGTCATTCGCGTTTCCCGAGCGCAAGAGGTCGCCCTTACCGACTGAAGACTGCAGAGCATTCAACATCTGACTCCCCCTAAGCACAGCGGGGTCGTCATCTGTGAATAAGCTTAGAGTCAAGACGATGCTCTCCAGGGCTTGCTGGGCGTTAGGTGTCACACGGAAGACTTGCAGCACGCTCTTGGCTTCGTCGATACATGTGAGGGCAGCAGAGCTAGAGACGTCCGTTAGAGGCGGCAATGAGCTCAAGAGGAGCGAGATCAGTTGGCTCGCAGCCTGGGGAAGCCTATGAAAGGTGTTCATAGGAATAGTGTATGCGGTTCGGAGCAGGTTGATAGCATCCGCAACAGTGGCGAGAACAACGTTTGAGTCGTCAGCGGGCGAGAACAAAGGGTTTGGAGGAGCCGTGGCGGAGGCCGGTGTGCCGTAGTGCAGCTCTAATACAAGCTGGCAGAGCGTATCCAGAGTCGGTCCATATTGTAACTCCTGCGCTCGCGCAGAATATAGAAAGGTGGCGAGGAAGACGGGCAATGACAAGAGCTTGGCCTGAATGGCCTCCTTCAGGTAGTGCTGAAGCCCAGGATCGCCAGGGTATAGTCCATACAGCACGAGAACAGAGTCTGATGGTTCATAGTCAGTGAGTAATATGACATATAGGACGCATACGTGAGCCTACTAGAGATGGCCCTCTCTGGGCCCTCAAGTTGTTCGGTGATGTCTCTCCGTTTGGATAGATAGAGACGGCAAAGGCTTGCCCACTATACAATCAACAGGCATCACATGACTGTGCATTCATATTCAGCTCGCGACTCACCTTCGTGGGGCTGACACCGCTCTGAAATGCGTTGCGTGTCAGGTCCGACAAAGACATTTGGTCCGCGTGGTGGTTGCGTCGAAAGATGTTCTGTCACCCACCCGGAAGCAGGCAATGGACGCTCGGATCTTGCCGCTTACATGCAGCCGAGGACTGGCCATTCTGGTAGTGCCCCAAAGCTCATCATACAATTTGCGCGCAAGAAACGCCATTACTTTGCAGCCATGTGGAATCGGGTCGTGTACTTCGGTCGCGACTTCGAATACAATCTCAATTCCCATGTGACGGCTATGTATATGGCATCATTAATTCTGGAAGCGCGTTCACAATTGCAATAAGGGGGTATACACAATGTAGACGTAATGATATTCAGCAGATAGTAGTACAAGCGATGATAACGTGAGGGTCATATCAGTACTGGTCGTGCACGGTCCGGAATCCACGGAGATACGGGGGCGCATATCAGACTATTCACCATAGCCCACTGAGGAACCTCTTCATGAAGTCGACCTTGAGGTTCAGGCAGAAGAGGTCATCGTCATCGACGGTGTACCCCTTGACGGCGACAGTGAACTTGGCTGTGAGAACGACATGAGCGTTGACTTCACGTGATAACGGGGGTGGCACATACCCTGAGGGATTTCCTTCGGAAGGGTCACGGTCTGCACAACCGTGTAGTAACCCTCCTCGACAGGGCAAGTGATGGACGCGTTGGCATTGCGTCTGGACGAGACCGTTTAGTACGCCTGATGGAACATAACGCAGATAAGCACCTACGCCTCCTCACAGATATCAAACTCCTTCTGGAGCAGTTTGATCAACCCGAGTTTCACAGTCACATCTGCATACGCGCCCTCCTGCGGCAACATGAGCCCTCATTGCTGTACGACTGCCTGGTTACGCACCTTAATGGTCTCCACGGCCGTACCCTTGACGGTGACCGTCATGTCTTCTCCCGGCTTGGGCGGGTCTGGCGAGACTACGATAGATTCGATCTGAACAGCGTCGGAAGGGGAGCCTGGGAGTGTAGAATGTGAGAGGGTCGTAGAGAAGCGGGCAGGGGCGATACCTACCGCAATCCGAGTATGACCAGCTCTCGGAGATGCGAACGTCGCCTTGTGGGCTCATGGCGACCTGACCGTCGAGAGGCGAAGCCATGACGGCTGGAGCGGCGGCGGCGGCAAGTAGTGTGCAGAGAAGCGAGAAGCGAGCCATGGTGGTGCAGGGTCAAGGCGGAGGTTGCAGCTGAGTACCAGCCCAATTGATGCCAGAAGTGCGTCACGGCCGGGCCTGGCGCGTGTGAGACTTGGGCCTTGGCCAGTGCAGCGCCCCCGCGCCGCAGTCGGCAGACAACAGCCTTACTTACATACCTTCTTTCGCTTCCACCACCACCACCTTTTTCGCTTCCTACATATCTCCGCTCTCTTAGCTTGCACTCTCGATTGCGCTTGTGCCATCGAATCCGACAACAGAATGAAACCCAGAGATTATTGCTGTTGCGCTATCCCAACAATCACAACGGGCATCTACACCGTCTTGTTAGAACAGTTCGTGCTGGGTATCGTGGTAGCGACGCTGGCAGTCGCGGCACCAGCAAGTGCGTAACTCGTCATGTATGTCAAAAGGACGGCGATTGATCCTCCCGTAGTCGTTGGCTCGGACTCCTTCACTCCATGGGTCCTGGCCATAATTTGCTATATTGCGGCCGGCTTGCAAGTACTCGGGTTCATCGGGGTAGCGAAGGTCGGCCAATACTCAACACGTGCTTTTGTACCGCTGGCTTATACTTTTCGCAGGAGCGCGGCATCCTGTTCAGGCGATACCTCACCTTGCACATATTCACAACTTTGGCCGCTTTTGTGGTTGCAGGCGTCATGATCGGCCTCTCGGCCGGTCACCACGATGATGCGCAAAATAGCTGCATTGCCAAGTTCTTCACCGCGCAGTCCACCAGTGCCAGTCTTGCTGATACTCTGTGTGATATCTTCCCCTGGGTGGATGTTGGCGTCATGGGAGGATTGTGGCTCCTTTTGGCTATTTCCCAGGTGTGTAGCTTGGACGCCGAAGCGCCAGTTACGATGCCGACATACGTTACAGATATATTTCTACACCGTCGTCTCTGGTTACAGTGCATATGCCAACGACGCCACCGGAAAGTACGCTCCCGTTGCTGATATTCCGATGCGAACTGCAAACGGCTCGACGGAGTCGCTGACGGACCATCACGGCCACGCACGCAACGTCAGCGTAACAGAGCCTGATCCCGCCTACCCTCAGCAACCTTACAGTGATAACCCGTCGTTCCCGTCAGGCGCTCATACTCAGCCCGGCGCTCCCACACCATATGCCAACCAGTTTAACGACCCAGGCTATCAGGATTCGCTCTACCAAGACTCGGTTTTGCACAGACCTGAGCAATACCAGTCGCATCCTGGTCAGTCACATCAATACTGATAAATTGGGCTCTCTCGTGTGTCCCTTCCCTTGCTGGTTGTACCGAGCGCTGATCGTCTATTCACTGTGCAGCGGAAGGCTCGTTCCGCAGGAAGACGCCCCGCTTACAGAAGCCAGCGCCTTACGATGCCAGCGCATATCCCATTTGAAGCGGACTATATCGGACTTTGAACCTACCACGGACCTCGCCTTGGCCTGCGTATGGACACAATGTATCATCTATTGCTTTCCTACATGATCTCCTCATCGTACATGTCATTTTCGTTCCTCCAGTCCCCAAGCACCAGTCTGACCTCATGCGCCTTGGCAATATGCTGCAAACGCGTACGTCTCCCGCCCCGGTCGAAGATGGCGTCCCTCAGATGCAAGTACGTGAGTTTGGGTGGATTACGGCGCCGGAGTAGCAACTCGACAGCGTTGGCGAGCAACGTCTCCTCTTCAATATGTTCAACGGTCGATTTCTCGTTTGAGATAGAGAACTTGAAACGTATGAGCGACACGGGAAGGGGCGAAATGAAGTCGTGCTTCAGATCCGAGTCGAGCACAGTGATTATGTCTAGAGCAAGATGCTTTAGCTCGTGAAGGCCAGCGAGCACCTCCTGCAAGGAGATCGACGAAAATCGACTACAGCCCAATAAGACGAGTCTTCGAAGATTGCGTCCTAGGAGAGGAAGAGAGTGGAGGTGCGAGTCGCGCATTTCGAACGCCAACGGATGGCCCATGCGATATGCAAAATCGTCCAAGTTTGCTCCGACAAAAATTTCATGTAGAGATCTCAGGTCGAGATAAGACCCTGTAACTGTATCCAAAACCAGCGAGCGCAGAGATGTCGTCGAGAGATTATTCGGTAGGGTACAGTTCCCGGACAGGCGCAGGGTCCGGACGGTGTCGGGCTGGACTTTGACGAAGAGCAGGGACCGACTCCTAGGCTCGTGATGGAGCTCATATATCTGAAGGCGCATCCTCACATGTTCATTGGGGAACAAAGCTTCCTCAGATCGGAGTTGTACACGCCCATGGAGTCTCAAATTATCTAAGCAGACATTCCCCATCAGTGTGTGGAAAGTCGTGAAGAATGGAGCTGCGGTACCAGGTGCTTGTAGTCCTTGGCGGCAGTCGAAGACGCGTAGGCTCGTCAGATGAGGCATCATTCTCAGGGCTTGATATAGTCGCGATACGGGCGAGACCTTTGTACGTGAATACAGGGGCTTGCTGGAGAATGCTGGTGGAGCTCACCGTTCGATATCGCTCATCTCGGGATGCCAAAACTCGACCGTCATTTGCGACATCGGCCCAGACGATGTTCTCGATGTGTGTTGCTGTGCGCATGAAAGCCACAATCTGATATTCATGGCGCAGAGATACATAGCGATGCAGGCAGGGTCCCGCTTCCTCTCGGATTAGCGCGCAGGTCTGCAGAAGCCGAAGATGAGAATTATCGGGCTGTTGGTTGTGTCCGCGCAGACGCCGATGCGTCAGGATGTGCCATTCATACACTATGAGCCGCACTTCCGGAGGAACGTCTACCAGAAAGTGCACAGGCCTTCTGCTCAGTGAGGTCACGGACGCCATCGAACGGAGCCGATGACTGCAAAGTCGAAGCCGCGATGCGCACGACAACAGCGTGGCCATCTTACCCGCCGGCGGCCAACACCCCATTGTGCCGTGTGGGCACATCTCGGAAGGGAGATCGCCGTGCAGGTACAATAACCTCCGAACGGCGTCTAGTGTCACCTGTGGACAGACCTGTCCGCTGTAGAATTTTTGTATACGTATGAACCAGTAACGCGCCCAGATTAGCCTCATCATTCTGACCCGCATTGTCAGACGCACTTCTGCTTCTTCCCTCTTCTCGCACACGGTATGCCCTCGTTACATGCTCTTCGCCTCAATAGTATATGTTGACCCGGCCTGGTAGCTCTTGTCCAGCGTTCAACAACCTTGTTCCCCACGGGGCTGAGTGGAACGCGTACACGCTCTCTTCTTGTCACTCACTGCTGTCTCCCTCGTTAGTACCGCCTTGACTCTTGCGCTCGAAAGTCTTCATGCCAGCTATCGCGGCCGACTACGAGGTTATCCTACTGTTTTCGAACGACACTCGTGAGCCGGCCACAGTTCAACTGGCACGCGACTACCACTGCGGCGCAGCCAGACACAGCGCCGTCGTTTTGCTTTGGCCGGGAGACCAGGTTTCCTTGATATTGGCAGCCGGCTCTACGTATCGTTATGTACTCAAGACGGGATCGAAGCTCGCCAGCGTTTCGTATGTTCTTTTCTTCCCTACAGTATTCTCGACCTGACCGGAACAGTATAAACCGCTGGAGAGACACGACGATCACCGTGACGGATGCCTTCTCCAGCGCAGGATCGCCAGGAACACCCGCAACCATCTCATCCGGTGTCACCGTCGACCGCATCTGGAGAGACGGTAGGATGATGGTCTGGGACAGCGAACCGTTGACGTCGCGTTGACGTTGAACGTTGAACAGTGAGATTTCCGCTTGTCGCTCAAGCATCCTCGACCGACCGCTCCATTCTAGGTCCACGCTCATGATCTAAGGTTCCTTCCCCCACCACGCGTACCGCGCACGATCCGCGCTCGCACGACGGTCGTCCCGATGTCGTCGCACCCCTCGCGCACCCACACCCTAACGGCGTGCCAGCCCTTCATCTGCATCACTGCCTCAATTCGAACATCACCCTCTCATACGCAGCATGCCGTCCCTGGAATATTTACTCCATATATTACTTTGTACTCTATACCAGTCCGTCATGACAGCACCCTATGCGCGCAACTCTTTTCAAGCGCTGCTCAACGTGTCTTCGGCGTGGCCTGAGTTTCCCTCGGCCTGTTGTGGTCTTGCAGGTGACACGCCTTCTCAATGGATCGTGCTCAGCATCTCGCGTTCTAGAACAAGACTTTTGTCTGGTGGTCAGGAACGATGGATCTGTTTTCGGACTGCTGACAAGAGTCCTTCTCAGCGTGTATGATGCAGGTATGGATACTCATTCTAGGTTTGCGTCCCGTGAGTCGACTGGGCGTGTCGTGCGTGCGCTGATCCCGACAAACACGAGCGTGAGCATGATCGCGTTACTACGTCACGACGCGGTCCCGTCGGCCAGCAGCCTCGATTTTGCGGCGACGGTCAGCACACAGTTATCTGCTCTCACGGCACACCGTCCGGCTTCTTCAGCAAACCTCGCGCACAAATCGTGCACGCCGCTCGGACGCACGTTCTTATAGCATCTGCTGTGGTTCGTCAGGCTGTCGGCGCCACCTTCGCTATATATACTGAACTTAAGCGGAGTGAGGTATCATACAGGGGTCCATCCTTTTGGCTTTGGACATCACCATGCTGGCCTACTACAATCTCCTGTTCTCCCTCATGGCAGCGCCGGCCGCGGTCTTGTGCAAACCAACTATATTGGATTTGATCGCGGATGCTAGCTCCAGCCCTTCGGTCCATTACCCGACCCAGCTAACGCAGGGCATTGTACCGAAGCCGATACATAGTCACAATGACTGTACGTGGACCATCCTAGTGCCATGAGAATGTTGAGTTCAAGGATCGTATCTCCTGACGAGACTGGCGAGACGTACCCCTACTTACCGCATTGAGTCTCGGCGTTGCGAGCGTGGAGGCCGACGTGTGGCTGGCAAATGGCACATTATTCGTACGTAGCCAACTTCGTGGTCGTATGCCATGGCTATACACATTAAGGTCTAGGTTGGACACGAAGTAGCCGCCCTTACGCCCTCGCGCACGTTTACGTCGCTCTATGTTGACCCTCTACTGTCTTTGTTGAGCATGCAGAACCCACAAACAGAGTTCACGACCAATCAGACTACACCAAAGTTCGCATAATCTCAATGATTTGGACGACACCGTCAGGCTGATACTCTTCAGCGGCGTCTTCGATACGTCGTCCGCAACTCCGTTGCAACTTTTAGTGGACATGAAGACCAACGGAGACGAGACACTGCTCGCGGTCCTCGAGGCTCTCGAGCCCCTTCGCTCCGCAGGATACCTGACAACAGCGTCTGAAGGCAACGTCACGTTGTCCGCTGTGACCGTCGTAGGGACAGGAAACACACCACTTGAAGGCGTGCAAGCTCTTGAGCCCCGGTGAGCCCAACTACCTAGGCGATGCAATAGTCCGTTCATAGGTCGATAGGGATATTTTCTTTGATGCGCCGCTGCAAAGCTTGAATTCAAGCGTCAACTGGGGACCGGCGCTGGTAAGTTCCTGAGAGTGCATATGCGAGTGTCTGATAGCTCACACGTCACAGTCACCCATCGCAAGCACCGACTATGAGACAGTCATCGGATGGTCAGGTATCGGATCCATCAATGATACCGCACGCGCAGCCATCGAGCAGCTCGTCGACGAGGCGCACTCGTTTGGGATTGCCGCTCGCTTCTGGGATACGCCCGGCTGGCCTATAAGCGCCCGTAACGCAGTGTGGGAGGAACTACTGACAGCCGGTACGGACTGGTTGAATGCCGACGACCTGGAAGCAGCATCTAAGTTTTGAGACGATCGGCCATGTAAAGAGCAGATAGTGATAAGCAAATCAACACGAATATAGTAGTGTAGTAGAGGTAGGAGAGGGGCAAAGTGTGATGCGCTATGAGACCGCTAGTGCGCTGGTCATGGTGCCCGAGTCCAATCCGGGTTTCTTGCGCAGGAGCGAGAACTTGCGTCCGGGATACTTTGCAAGAGCGCCCTGCGCCTTACGAAGAGCACTTGTCTTTCCCGAGCCAGGCGTGACTTCGCCCGACCGCAAGCGCAGGTTCTTCATGTTGAGGAAGTACTCATGGGCCTCAGGATTTGATGTTGCGGGCGCTCTAGCGTTTGCGTGCACCTCCTTTGCCAGCAGAGTATTCTGGGCACATGTCAGTTTCCTATGTAATGGCTGGTGATGCGATAAGATCACGCACGATGTGGTCGGCCGCCTTTTTCTCAAGTTCCACGCGGTCTGCTGGCGCCCGATACCTGAGCGTCTTTTGCAGGTTCCACCTCGTCAGAGGTCGGAGTAAGGCCGGGCCGTCGAGACCCTGCCGCCTGCCCTCCTTCACGGCCCACGAGACGCCTTTTACGCCGTTCGCCGCGACCTCCTCCATGCTCGACTGTCGAACCTTCTTTGCGAGCAAATCCCAGCCCACTGCACGCGCCGTCATCTCAAACTTGAGGTCACGCGGGTTGTCCACGAGCTCGATGATCGCGTGCGGCGCATTGTCGCCTGGACGGTTACCGAACTTGTGAATACGGGTGTATCCGCCGGGCCTGGTCCTGTAGCGAGGTGCAAAGTCGGTGAAGACCTTGCGTGCCACGGCCGTGTTCAAGAGGAAGGAGCGCGCGCGCTGGTACGCCAGTACATCGCCCTTCTTGCCCAGTGTGATCATCTACACGACGGCCTTAACTAAAAGCGAGCAAGAGAAATATGAGACACATACCTTCTCGGCGAGGCGAGCAGTTTCCTTCGCTTTGGCGACCGTGGTTTTAATCTGCTCATGCTTGAAGAGGTCGGTGACGAGGTTCCTATATTTCGCCTTCAGAGGCCATCACGCATTTCACACTGTGACGCGCATACCTCAGCATGAGGTCCCTGTGTGAAGAGTCCCTCGACAACTTGCGGAAGGCGTTGCCATGCTTCATGACTGCAGGGCAAACGCGGTGACCGCTCAGGACAGAGCGCACATTCAACTAAACCGCGTCCTCGGCATTCGGCCCGGATCCGGAATATCGGCGTGCGCGCCGGTCTCGTCTTCAAGTAAAAACTGGCTAGCAGCTAACAGAACAAGGCACAAGCGTACAGTAGTGATGCTGATTAAGATGCATGTCATGTCTTTCTACTCCATCTCCTTTCGCGAGAATTGTTACAGTGGAAACTCTCCTCTCCACCTACCCCCCTTGAAGCGTCCTGCGAAATCGTACATGAATAAATGCCCTGAGTCAGGATATTTTCTCTGCTGTTCTGAGTCTCCTCCGTATATTTCTGCACTTGCGGTTGTGATGTACAATTTGTCACTATTGGGACCTTCATCCATGTTCAGTGACAACACGTTGTGATAGAATGCGAACTTACCGCCGAAACAGCAAGCGGTCACGCGCAGAACGGACGGTATGTCAATTACCAAATTGACCTTCCCATTCTTATCAAGACGGACGACTGCGGAACCATCCCACCTGATAAATACATGAGTAAGATCTCGAAGGATAAAGTGGCCATTGACCTAGCGCTCCAGATGCAACCCTCATCATCCATGCATAGCCCATCCGGCTTGGATGCCTTCCAGGCGCTGTCGACAGAAGTGTCACTAAAAATCCGCTTATTCGAGATGGTTCCCTCGTCATAGTCGTAAGCATAGATGACATTGGTCAATGAGCAGGTGAAAAATCTTCGGGTGCGGTTAGCCTGGACACACTCCCGAAAAGGCTCATCTTACAAGATATGTTCATCGGCAGTCCAGCCGATGCCGTTCGAGTGCTACAAGACGCTTAAGGCAAGTAGCGATGGTATTAAGCAAGGGCCTCATACCGTGAACCCTTCGTCAACAACAACACAGGAATTATCTCTCGGGTCATACCGGTAGAGCAAGCCTGGTATATTGTGCTCAGGAGAAAACATGGTGCCAGCAAAGAAGCGTCCTCTGCTATCGCACGCGCCGTCGTTGAAGCGGGAGTACGGTCTGTTCTCCGGCCGTATGGGCTGAGCCAGATGCTTCAGTTTGCCACATTCAATCACTGCAAAGCCCGACTCGACAGTGCAGGCGAGCTATCTAGATGATGAGCATTGCTTCAAGTGAGAAACATCATGGGATGACCCACGCCGCCACCTCGGCAAAGAGCAAGGCCCGTCACAGCTTCTGGGAACGTGTCACTGGTGAGTGAATGGGTTGTCGTGTCGAGGTGGAAGACCTGTTGGGCGTGAGATCTCTAAGGGCTTGAATAGAAGGTATCAATGGTCCCTGCCTTCTTCTGGATAATGTCTATGAAGTGAAGGGTGGACGTGCTGTGATAAAAAATGGGACCTGTCGCGACATGAGTGACTGCATGGCCGGAGATGCATCCAGAGCTTGTACTTTCGCCCAGTTGGCAGCCGACTCTCAAGAAGGGCTCGGTAACAACAATACGCTCAAGCATGATGGTGGTTGAAATCTGAGATCTGAGACGCTGGCTAAGCAGATGACACTCAGATAAAGCTCGGACAAACCCTCGCGGCCCGCTAGACAGGGCGCCGGTCATGATCATGTGTCCCACGTAAAGAGGAAGTTCAACTCTGTACAACTTGATCGAAGGCAACCTGGGGACCGTGACATCAAGATGCTCGCATTTGACAACATTGATTTCACGCAATAGAGTGCGACCAGAAGTAGGAAGACTAATGTAATTGCAGGACGAAAGCAGACAAAGTAACGAACTGTAGGAGCATTATAACCGCAATCTACTGAGCTGTAGTGTGGTAAGCAAACGACTTAACAGGGACATGTCGAATAAGAACTTACCTTCAGGCGTCTTGGCAATGTAGTCGACGGCTGAATGACATGTCAATCTCAGAAGCGGAGAACAACGGTTCCGAGTACGCACCCTGCTGAACAGTCGTGATTTCGTCTGCCTCCGCATCCGGGATCTCGATTGAGAACTCCTGTAGCCGAGGATGAGCTATGTTCGTCAAGACAGACTAGCCTTCCACACCTCCTCTACCGCCATCACAACTTCGACAGCGTCAAGGCTGTCTAGGCCAAGGTCTTTCGTGAAGGACGAAGTTGCAGAGAGCTGTGACGCAAATATCAGCGACTAGCCTCTGTCACGCAGGTATGGTTCACCTTTGCCGGGTCAACCTTCTCAAAGCCCTTGAGAACGCCGAGTACACGCTCCTGAATCTGCGCCTTGTCAAGAGCGGCTGCAGCGGAGTATGCCCTCGGGAAACGCGTCGACCAGACCGGAGCGGCAACAGCGCGCGCAAGCGCTGACCGTGCAGGCATGGCGCTACGGAATGCAAGGCGAGCGAAGGACATTTTAAGGCAAGGATGGACGTAGGGGTACGGTTGCAAGTCAAGAGTTGCGCCGTGACGCGACCGAAGCGGCTGAGAACGCGTCGGCGCGACTCGTGGCGAGCCCCGGCCCCCGGATGTATCCGTCGGCCAACCGGCCGCGGGCCTCGTCCCTCCTCCTCATCAGTGACCATCAACTAGGTACTTCCCTCCATGTAGCTGCAATCTACTACCCGTGGTTAGGCTACTTGCCGGGCCCTCTGGAATAGTCTACATTGGAAGCTCTGAATGATGCTATGTAATAGGCATGACGCGTTGACTCGGGCTTAAGTAAGCGGAGGCTGCTCCGTACACACCAATGCAATAGGTAACTGTCGGTATGTCGTCCCCGGCCCATACACTATATAGACGGGCGGGAGAAGGAGTAGCTCAGCCTCCCTAAGTTCGCCATGGCGCGATCTGTGCACTCGCTTGCAGTACAACGGTTTCTGTCAGCGCTCACTCCGTCGTTCTGCGTCTTTGCCGTCTTATCACTCGCCAGTCTATTTACCGATGGTGAAAAACGTAAAAACGTCTACCTCTGTGGCTGCGCCTACTGCTGTCTCTCCTTGCAGATCCTCTCTATTATCTCGCCAAGTCTTACCTCGGGGATTGGGATTGTGAACGTCGTGCGAAGGCTGCTGGCGCAAAAGTCCCCTATAGACGGCTGGGAGGTATTGATCTCATCATGTCGTTGGGAAAGATGGGACGTGTAAGGACGCTGTGCTACGTCTAATGGGTCGTTAGCGAGCACTGAAAGCAAGCTAGAACTATATCGGCGAAGGACTATACTCTTTCCTGGGACAAGACTCCAGACACGCTTGGATGCTCTACATCCTTTTCGAGAACAGGGTTCGGTAGCCTGCCCACCGGACCTCGATTTACTACTGACTAACCCTCCAGATAATCACTTCTGAACCGACCCATATCCAGGCCATTCTGGCAACCTCTTTCGACTCGTTTGAGAAAGGAGAGGTGCCAAGAGAGTTTTTAGACTCTGTCCTTGGTGCAGGCGTGTTCAACGCAGACGGCTAGTCCAGCTCTATCAATTTGCCATAGTCACTCTGATAGGGTAGGTCAGGCGCCGCTTGGAAGTTCCATAGGAGTATGGCTAGGCCATTTTTCAGCCGCGACCGCATCAGCCACTTCGATATATTCAACCGACACGTGGACGACGTGCTCGTGCAAGCAAAACACCGGTTAAGGGAGGGTCATGCACTGGACTTTCAGGTGAGGCGCTGTCACATCTTCACTGTATAAAATATACTCTTAAGACTTGTGCGCAGGACATGATCTCACGCTTTACCCTTGATTCGGCTACGGAGTTCCTCTTTGGTCACGATGTCAGGTCGCTCTCCGCTGGACTTCCTTATCCTCAAGTACCTGGGGTCCCCATTCAGGCTCTAGCTCCGTATCATCCAGCGAATGTCTTCACCCGCGCCTTCTCACAAGTGCAGAGCGAAGCCGCCGTGCGCGTTCGTTACGGTGCCCTCTGGCCGTTCTTCGAGCTGAGTGGCGACCGCACGAAGAAACATATGAAGATCATTGACACCTTCATCGAACCCATCATATCCGACGCGATTGAGAAGGATAGGACCGATAAGCGTCGCGGTGTGGATACAAGTCTGGGGGGAAATGGCAACAGTGCCGATACATTGCTCGGCCATCTCGTCAAGGTCACTGATGGTGTGTGCTCAGATGGACGTAGTTCAGTCTACAAATTCTCACCCAACACCCAGATCGTAAGCTTATCAAAGATGAGATACTCAATATCGCTATCGCTGGTCGTGACACGGTGAAACACTTCAAGGCTAATGACCAATTGATCCACTGACGCGGTCTTCAGACCGCCTGCCTTTTGACATTTTTCGCCTACATGCTGTCGCAGAATCCGCATGTCATGGATCGGTTGTACGAAGAAATACAGACTGTGCTTGCAGACGGTAGACGCCCGACCTTTGAAGACATCAAGAATTTGCGCTATATGCGCGCGGTTCTCAACGAGACCCTGCGCCTCTATCCACCCGTGTATGGTCTAAACGCTCCGTTCTCCAGAGCTGTAAGCTGATTAATTTCAGACCGTTCAACATGCGAGTTGCTACGCGTGATGTGGTGTGGCAGCCGACCAACACGGGAGAGTACCCTCTCTTTGTAGCCAAGGGCACCGCGTAAGGAGACTTCACCTACGCATCGTACATGATTGTTGTTGACGTGTATCTTCAGCTGCGTGTTGGCGCCGTTCGTGATGCATCGCCGAGAGGACCTATGGGGGCCTGATGCCCTCGTTTTCGATCCGGACCGCTTCCTCGACGAGCGTCTCCATCGGTATCTCGTGCCCAATCCTTTCATATTCTCTGCATTCTCTGCCGGCCCTCGTATCTGCCTTGGACAACAGGTACGGTACTCTTCCCGCAGCCGTGTCTATACGGCTAACCGTGATCTTACTAGTTTGCGTACAACGAGGCGTCTTTCACACTCGTGCGCCTGATTCAAGAATTCTCGAGGATAGATCTCGCTCCGGATGCTTTCCCTCCCGAGGCAAGACCGCCGCCCGAGTGGGCTGCCGGTCCTGGTCGCAAGGCGATTGAGAAGATCAACATCAAGTCGCACTTCACGCTGCATGCGGCGGGCGGGCTTTGGGTTCGCATGAAGGAAAGAAGGCGGGGCGTGGAGTAGCAGTAGACGGTGTAAATGATTACGATTACAAAAAACCATGATGAAGCTGCAAGTTCTCACGGGCGGGAGTTGCCGGTGCGTGCACGTGCTTGGGTGCGGCGCGGGCGCGGAAATGGGATGTGGATATTGTGGGAGTCCTCACTGCAAGATCAAGGTGAGGGCGTCGTGCTGCTGGTGGACCGTACGGAATCTCTGACTGTGACTGTACGAATAAACAGACTCGCGCCATGGCCACCATCTCCTCGACGCCCATCGTCATCGACGGCAAGGGCCATTTGCTTGGTCGCCTGGCCTCCATCCTCGCCAAGCAGGCCCTCTCTGGCCAGAAGGTCGTCGTCGTCCGGTGCGAGGAGATCAACATCTCGGGTAGCTTCTTCCGCAACAAGGTGCGCGCGCTCTCTCTGTCTGAATATCCGGACATTTACTCACCGTTTCTCCAGCTCCGCTACCACAACTTCCTCCACAAGCGCCACATTGTGAACCCCAAAAAGTCCGGCCCCTTCCACTTCCGCGCGCCGTCCAAGATCCTCTACCGCGCCATCCGCGGCATGGTCCCCCACAAGACCGCCCGCGGCGCCGCCGCCCTGGAGCGCCTGAAGCTCTTCGAGGGCGTGCCCCCGCCATACGACCGGAAGAAGAAGATGGTGGTGCCCGAGGCTCTGCGGGTGTTGAGGCTGAAGCCGGGACGCAAGTTCTGCACGGTCAAGGTTCGTTCTGGATTATTCTCCCTTTTTTACCGCCTTATTGACCGTCCGACAGCGCCTCTCGCACGAGGTTGGCTGGGGCTACAAGGACGTCGTCGACCGTCTCGAGGAGAAGCGGAAGGTCAAGGCACAGGCCTTCCACGAGCGCAAGGTTCGCAACACAATGCCCCGTAAACCAAGACTCGATACTGATCCCTGTAAAGGTGGCTGCGCTCAAGCTCCGCCAGAAGGCCTTGGCCGACACAGCTTCGGACTTCCCGAAGCTCACCACCCTCGGCTACTAAGCCGATCGCCTTGCCCCTCTTCTTGTCGTCCTATGCCTTACCATGATGCGTATGTAACTAGCTATGTCACGCCTGTTATGGCCATCCCAGGCGTCCTTTTTTTCCTGAATCCGATCTCATTCTTTGTTCGGACGACGCACCACCCTTGCAAATTGTACAAGAGATCTCGCGCTACTCGTATGCATGGCTTTTAGAACTAATAATCTTGGGTTTCTGCGTGGATCGTGGTCAATCGCATTGACATGCAAACAGTGCGAGTTGAGTACAGTGCGTATGGTGCAATCAGTCGTCGTCATCCAACCCGGCGAGGTTCGCAGCTACTTCTGCTGCTTCCCCGCCTTCAATCGGATCCCCGAACGGATCGCTCTCGTCCATCGCCTTCCGGATGGTCTCCGCCTTCTTCACTCGCTTGGCCTCCGCTTCCGTCTCCTCGCGCTGCTTCTTCGCGTTGTATGCCTTACTCCCTACGATCTTCTCCGGGTTCTTGCACAAACGAAGACGGCGGTCAATGGTCGTCACGACGTCTTTCCCCGGCGCATGTCCATCTCGCTGGATCAAATCTTTGATCTGATCCAGAATTAGGACAACAGACTCGGCATTCTTGCTTTGCGCCCAAGCCTGTGCGAGATCCGGGCGGGAGAGGGACATACATGCCAGAGCAATCTGAGAGGGCGTGTAGATGAGCTCAGCGTCGGTATAGCGGGTCATGCGTAAGTTCGCCACGGCTCCGTCATAACATTGCTGTAGTTCGGCTTCATTGGAAGGGGCATTTGGGAGGCTCTGGATGCTGTTGAGTCGTGTGGACGCACGAATGTGCTTGAGCTGTCACCTGTATGTCGAGCCAAAGGCCCCAGAGTGCGCGGTGGGCATGCCATATCGCGAACTCGAAAGCAAGAGACTGAGCAACCAGGAACTCCAAGTCGAGAACATCAGAAGGACTCTGTTTGAGTCGCCCCGTGAAAGCGTCTAGGGCAATTGGGTTATTGGTTGTTTTGGTAGCAAGAAAGATGGCCGTGAGCCTGTGGCGCGGACATGAATATTCAGGCACTTCATCGCGATACTCTCGGCAAACGTACATGACATTCTTAGGGTGCCAATCCATGACCGTATTCTTGAGGTAGAACCTCTTCAAGTATGTCATTGCGGTCGCTTCGACCTCTTCGGGAAAACGAAATGCGCCACAGATTTCGACGAGTTTGGACAGGTAGAAGCGGACGAGCAATAGCTCCTCCGTCGCGTCAAGGAATTGTACGTTTGCGGAAGACCCTGGCTG